CGTTCAAATAGGTTTGTTCTTTTTAATTGAACTTCTTACATTATTCATTTTTTCTCTTTTTCTCTCCAACGCGAAAAAAAAAGAAGATAAACCGTGCAAGAACTTTAATTAAAAAGAATAAACCTTCTTAAAATACTGTTCACTTACCTCGTCATACAAATCGAATGCAGCAAGACCAACCGCGCGATAAACCGCGTCTTTCACTAGAATCGCATGCAGATTGTTAGGATCGACAGGTTGGTGATGCTGTCGCATCAAATCAACCAAAACCGAAGCAAGAATATCTCTATAGTGATGGAAGATCGCCAAAAATAAGGATTCTGTGCAAGGCTACAATATAATATACATTTGCATTGTAATACATTTATAGAGTAATTATATATTTTAATAATTTTTATTATTTGTGATTTGATTACTCACCCTCAAGTTATATTTCCATGATTCTCCACCATCATCAATAGCTGAAACGAATAATACCTTTCATATTCTATTTTTTTTTATTTAATTACATTGTCATCTCATATAATTTTATTAAATGCGATGTAAAATATATTATTATGTAAAATATATAATATAATTCCATGCTTACCGAAATTTTCTGGTTGAGTATCCCACATTTCAAGATCTGCGGGTGTCAAAAGGAAGTAATGCGTGACAAGCCTGGAACAAATCTCGGTTAATATTTCCGGTGTAAAAAATTCTTGTCTCAACTGACATGCCCTCAGAACCAATGAATCTTTCTCTCTCCCTCTCTCTCTTTCTCTCGTCTCTGTTTTGATAAAAAAAGAACAGTTGTTAATATGGAATGACATGACATATAGACAAGAACAATGCAGCTTCTATACCTTCAATAATCTTAGCTGGTCTGTAATACGTCGATAATAAAATAGTTTTTATTAAATTTAGACACTGAATAATAAATCTTTCAAATGCTAACGCTTGGCCAGCTTCTGTGAAGCAGTAAAAAACGGAGAATTCTAGAGAAGTCGGTATGAGTTCCACATAGCAAAACGGATGTATTTCTATGACTCCTATTAAAACTTTGGTCAAATGTATTATAAACTTTTCGCACACATCCACTTGCATTCCTCTAGAAGCTAAAGTTTTTCCTTAAAAAAAGAAAGAAATAAAACAATATAACACTTTTACAATACCACATGAAATTCAATTTAAATATTTCGAAGATCATAAGTAGCTGTTTTTTAAAACAAAAAAAAAATACTAACGGCACTCAAGGCAAGTCCTTGCACGCTCGAAAACGACTTTCAGAAACAACATGGCATCTTGAGATTCGGATGGTTTGGAAAAACCATTTACGATCAGTTGCCTAAGTATTCTTAATAATAGAAGTGCTTTGTCTAAGGTTTCTTGTGTCTGATTGACGTCAGCCCCATTAGACGCCATAATCAGGAAGGATTCAGTATAAGTATTCCATAGGTTTAGGATAAAATTGAACATAGTCGCAGTCAATTCTCGGAAGAGCCTCTGTCCATCGGCCAAGCGTCGAGACGCTAAAGCTTTGACAACATGATGCAGTGTTAATACCGCCTGACGTTGTGCTAAAGAATTTTCTTGCCTTATAACTTCCAATAATGTTGGTACCAGTGTACCCCATTCTCTAGGACAATCAAACCTATAAAATTAAGTTTAAAATAAAAGGATTAAATATTTTAATTTATTATATTAAATATATATTACATATATTACATTCTTTACCTTGCTATCTTGGCAATAAGGACTGCTAATTGTATAGCTAATGGACTCATAGGTTCGTCAAAATTTCTGAGGAGATGCTGTCGCAAAAATTCCTTCTCATTGTCTTCGATTGCACTAAAATAATGGCGTGCGTTATTAAATATATACTATCGTTACAGTATAATAATGTCTGATTTGTATATAACGCAATAATTCCTGTTCTAAGAAAATGATTCTTACTTTGGTGCATTTTTCCTCCAGTACTTCTCAACTCCGATTTTCAAGTACACTACAGCCATCCATCTAACTTCAATAGCCAAGGAATGATTTGAAAGAACATTCTAAAAATAATTTTTACGTGATCAGTCTTAATTTTTAAATCACGAAATATATAATCATACCAGGTCTGTTCTTTATAGGTAAACCAATATAGATTGATTATATTTAAAATGAAATATTAATATATCGCTTGCTACAAAGATACAATTCAGAAATCAAAACTTTCCAGAAAATTAGTTTAAATGTTTTAAATCATTAAAATTTTTTAATGTTAATTTTGAAATGCAATTTTAGTATAATAACTGATTGTGTAGAAGAATAAAAATATATTCTTTCTTTCTTCATGTTTACATTCTCTTTCTATGAGTAAAAATATATGATATAATATACATAAGTAAAAATTATTATATATTTTATATATAACTTTTACTTATATATATTGTTGTACCAAATGAGGAAATATATTTGATAAATTATTGAAAGAAAATTTTAGTACAGTTCAAAGAACAGGCTCAATTCTAATCCTATACATATGTTTATCTTAATATTTAATATTTAATTGCTTTCCATTTAACTCAAATAATTCTCATTTATACATCATGATTCAGTTAAATGAACGATTTTCTTCATTCTGACAAGATTCAACTAAGTTTTCACCTACAATCTGCATAAACTTGAGATCTTGTATTTTACTGAATCTTTTTTAACTCACATTAAAATTAAAGTTTTAAAACCTGCATCGTTATGTGATAATTTTGTCACTAAAGTAATGATTTCATTATCTGAGTATAAATAAACTCACATCACTTCAGACTCAGTATGTGAAAATAGAAAGCAACCTGTTCCATGTAACATTCCATAAATCCAGTACGTACATGGAAAATAGAAAAAATATTTATAGACTTATGAGCCTGTAAAAAAAACTATCTTCTGTCCAGCATAGGCGACTTACATATAACGCAATATAAAATCCTTGCTGAGTTTCCCATTGCTTAAGCGTTTCCTCTGCAGACTTTAGAACGTTGGGGTCTTGACTGACCGCCTGTCGTAAGACTTCTATCACCGCGGCTTCCATGTCTTCTTACTGTACACAATATTAGCGGATATTACAAGCTACGTCACGATTCTCACCCTAACAATATTTCCGTCCCCGTGCGATTATTATCTAACGTCGCACAATTGCATCATGTGTCGTTTTCGATTCGAGAAAAAATCCAGAGACGGTTTACCCGATGCAGGTCGGTGAAAAGTGCATCGAGAATAACGAACATGTGGTCGCGGGACGACCGAACTACATCGAACGAAGTGAATGCGTCGTGCGAAATAATATCGCGATCACGCGAGTCCCATTACATCATTTCGCGTATCGCTCGCAAACTGCCATCGTCGTCGTCGTCGTCGTCGTCGCCGTCGTCATCGTCACCGTCGTCGTCACGTCGTTCCGGTGAGAACGAAATGCCCTCTAACCTATACAGAACCGCAATGACGGAACGGGTCGAAAGTACGGGGACGGAAGAAACGCGGCGCGGGCGGTGGAAGAGCGAACGTTTACCTGTCTCGCAACCGGTGTCGCAGCCGCTCATTCCGCGTGCTCCATTTGCCGCTCCGTTTTGCGCGCGAGAGAGAGTATTTATGTAGTAAATCGATACATAACGAAAATCCTCCGGCAAACCCTCGCACACACGCTCGGCGCTCCGCGTTGTACGTGGTTGTACGTGTCGACGACGGCACCTTCCAGCACCTTCCGAAGCGCAAAACGTTTCCCTTTCCTTTTTCCCTCCACTCCTCGACCGACAACCGACTGAACCGACAACAGCCGACAAGCCGACGGTCGGTCGTCGCGCCGCGCTTCTTCGTCTTGCGCGACTCGCTCTTCTCGTTTTACTCCTTTTTTTTTCTTTCCCACTCTCCTCTCGCGCGATAATGACAGTTGTCGTGCGCGTGCGTATAGGACGTTCTCTTCTATCGTGCGGAAAAATAAAAGGATGATCAAACTCTGATTAGCTTGATCGACAATTAATTAACTCGACGGCCGATACCCGCGGTAGCTTATTATTTAACGCCTTTAAGGATGATATATTCATAGTTCGTTCTTATTTCAAGATAATATCTTGATATATATATATATAAAGATATAATATTATATTATATAACTACTTAAATATTATTATTATAGATACTCAAGTATAAGAAACGACTGTAAATACCAGCCTAGAATTGTCGATTCGCTCAATATGGAATGAAAGATTAAGGAAAATAAATCATTTTATAAAATTTTAAATCAATCACGTCAATGATAATTAATTAATGATAATTAATTTAGTTATTCATGGAATTTCATCGAAACCACAACGAGAAGCACAAGCCGTTCTATTTAAATTCCTTCCTTACAGAAATTCAACGCTGGACGGAATAATAATTATCACACTTAATTTGAGTATATTAAAAGCACTGTTGTTCAGATATATACTATACGTATATAAAATGATAATTTCCAGAACTGAATCGTTGGATTTCTGCAAGAACTATAAACGTTCTCCTGTATTCTCTATTTTACTACAATAATAATAGATCTGTTTTTATCGCTGCATTAAACTGTACTGGAACTTTCCATTGTCACTTTTGCCAAAATCAAACCTATATCTATTTCACTACAAGTGTAGCGTATAGTATACTAAATTCAACTATAAAAACGGACTGGTTATTATTAGAACCATTCGATGTACGGACCTAAATATATATTATTATCAAGCAACGCCCGAGACGAAAATAGATAGAAATATATAAAATTAAGAACCAGATAAGATTAGACAACACGCGACGTAGTGATCTCACGTGTCTCTCGTCAAGAGAAACCACGTGCATTTCCGATGATCCGCGCGGAATTCGCGTTCGTTTTCGGAACATTCCGGAGCACACCGGTTCGAATCTTGTCGCGCTCCACCGAGCCGGATATCCGGTGCGCGACCGGCGCGTCACGCTTCGCGCAGGCGCAAGTAACACGTGTCCGTTGGCAGCACCATCGTCAACGCGTTCTCGTCAGTTTTCGTCCTTTCCTATCCCTTTTGTCTATGGCTTGTGGCAACGTTTGTATTGTGTCACGATGAAGGTAAGAATCCACGAATATCACAGAAATCACGCGTCTCACACGCGAAATACAAATCTTTTTTGATGCACCGAAATACCGGTGTCGCGACGATATTTGCATATTCGTCGAGGCTTTGTCTATCTGCATGTAGCACTGACCGTGAAGTGTCGGCATCAGGTGTTGTCAGGTGAAACATGCGGATATTTCGTCGCATTAATTGCTGCATCACGCGATTAAGAAGTGTCTTTTGCTGTTTTAATTTGTAACTCGTGGAACTGACATCGTATGAAGAAATTGTTTATATTTTTTTACTTTATTTTTTGCTGTACTCTGTAGAGGAAAAATCCTAACCTAGTTTAATCTGATCTTAATTTAGAAGTTCGAGGCCCGTTCCATCAATGCATATTTGAACTCGATATTTATCCAGAGCACCCCTTTAGCTCCAATTTTGATGAAATTATTCTCTCTCAGTTCAAGTTAGGTTGCGTTCCGTTGCATGCATGCTGTGCATAAGATATCATTTTATCCTTGTTCACAAAATTGTTAAACGGGGATAAAATGATACATCATGTGCATTATGCGTGCAACAGAACGTAGCTTTACGCTTCATCTTTTTCTAATTCTTAGAACTAGAAAAAAATAAGTTGGTCCAAGATTAAAATTAGTCTACTGATAGAAACGGATATTAGATATATTGTGTATAACTATTAATTTATGCATTTGATTATTGCAGTTGAACGTGTCGTATCCTGCAACAGGATGTCAGAAGCTGTTCGAAATTTCAGACGAGCACAAGCTCAGAATCTTCTATGAGAAGCGTATGGGTGCTGAGGTTGAGGCCGATGCACTGGGAGATGAATGGAAGGGCTATGTTGTCCGTATCTCTGGTGGTAATGACAAGCAAGGTTTCCCTATGAAACAGGGTGTCCTAACAAATGGTAGGTTTATGATACATTTATAATATGATACAAAAATTAATTAATATGTATAAAAAGTTGTCTTTAAAGTTGAAACCAATTATTTGCTAAACTTCATTTATATTTAATCTATTGTCATTTTACTATAATTCTCTTGAATCTGTAAAAGATATCAAGAACACTTGCATTTTTTTATATCTACATTCTGAAATTTGATTGTGTCACACAGCTTGAAAGTTACATAATGAGGAAATTTAGTAGCGGTACTTTCCAGCAAGAGACAAATGACAGTATAACAAGTTGAATCATTATATCTTATTCTTTGCCAATGATAAATCTTACATGAAAAAAAATGTTTGCTTAAACAAAGATGAAACAGAGATACATTGTAACATAGAGAACTGTGTTACAATAGGGACGTTTTCTAGTAAGGACTTAAGATCCACTTAACGCTGGAAAGGCTTCACTAATCAATGAAAAGAAAAAATTTTACAAATTGATCAATCAAAGAATGCTTTAAAACATTTGCAACATGAAGTGGATTGCACCCACAGCATAATGCAGAATTCGTCCCTATTTAATGTTGGCAAACAACAAGGATGATTTACTGTGTTACATTGTATCCTTGCTGGAAAATATTCTGTCTCTTGCTGAAAAGCGCCATAGATATTGATCAATGAAATTATAAATGTTTTAGTAAATTTTCTGATTTTTAATCAAACTTCTGACTTAAGTACCAAGGAAGTTTCTTTTAATATGATATATTATTTGCATAGGACGTGTACGTTTATTGCTTTCCAAAGGACATTCTTGCTACAGACCACGACGAGATGGTGAGCGCAAGCGCAAATCCGTTCGTGGTTGTATTGTAGACTCCAATTTGTCTGTACTAGCACTTGTCATCATCAGGAAAGGCAAACAGGTAAATGATCATTCGCGGTATATTTTTTTCAGATACTGAAGACCCATGCTGTTCAGGGTATATTCAAGATATTCAATTTTCTTGAGATACAATCGTACACATGGGAGATGAAATTCGTTTTTTGATTTGGGAAATTGCTATGTCATTTGTACTTTTTCTCAGTGTACGAACGAAACATGATTTTAGCTATTATTAATTTATTCTGAATTTTTTACACAAATATTTTATTATTACATGATTCTTTGTCGCTCGGTACAACTGACTCGCGATCTGTAGATCCGGATTCAATCCCATCTGCGCTCACATATACGATATTTCGCGTTTAAGGAGCTGAAAACAGCTAGTGATTAAGGGATCTTTGATCACCGTTTAGATCCAGCATTAAATTGTAGGTCCCATATATTAGTGAATATATGTATGGATCCCCCAGGCTGAGGACATTAGACTAATAATTTAATTAGTCAGCTTAATAGATGACAGATTTCCTACAATAATATGAATTAATATTATACAATAATATGAATTGCAGGAAATTCCAGGCTTGACAGACATGAACGTACCGCGTCGTTTGGGACCGAAAAGGGCAAGCAAAATTCGCAAACTGTTTAATCTTTCGAAGAAGGATGATGTTCGGCAATTTGTAGTAAAACGACCGGTCCAGAAAGAAGGAAAAAAGGAGCGATTTAAGGCACCAAAGATTCAGCGTTTGATCACTCCTATTGTTCTTCAAGTACGTTATTTTATAAAAATTCATAGATATATTGATAGATATATATTTTGAAACTATACTAAAATTGAAAAATTAGATTTGCTCTCCAAGTTAAATAAAATATAAAAATATTTAAATTTAGATTTTTTTTTTACTCTAATATATTCTAAAACACTTATATAAAAAATGCTTACAGAGAAAAAGACATAGACTGGCACTGAAGAAGAAGCGCTGTTTGGCTCGCAAAGAGCAAGCGGCGGAGTACGCGAAATTGCTGGCGCAACGTCAGAAAGAGGCGAAGAACAGGCGTCAAGAAGAATTAAAACGAAGACGTAGCGCTTCTTTACGCGAATCCAAGTCTTCAACTCAAACGGCACCAGCCGCACAACAGTAAATCAGTTGAATCCCGAAATGTATTTACACGTCAATAAAAAAGAATGTCAACTACCTATGGTCTTCTCCTTTATCATATCAATTTCCAATCGTTATTTCCTGCATAATGGTAAATATGAATTAAATATGAATAAAAAATAATAGGAACATGAATAATTTTTCTAACAATTATTAATTTTCAGTAATTTATCGAAATATTAAACTATCAAATATATTTTATTAATGTATAGTGTTCGTGAACGATACAACCAGAAAAGAGATGGTTGTAATGAAAAGATAAATCGAAAACGTACAACATTTTTTTATATAAGGTTTCTTTTTCAATTTAGAATATTCGAGTATATGTGCAATTTACTATAGATCTATTTTTTATTTTTGCATAAAACCGAAATTTTCTTGCTTTCACTAAATACCAGACATTTAATTTGTATATAACTTTTAATGTCGCTTTAAAATTTCCCAAGTGTACACCAGTTCAATTATAGAAAATAGGTCTCGTGACTCGACATAGTGACTCTCCCTGTAGATCGTTATCTTTATCTCCACTTATGTTTATTAATTACTGAATAATCCAGAATATACGGTAAAGACAAGATGTCCAAGTATAATAAATGTTATTATCTTCTAAATTATTAAAAATCTCTTATATTTTGTCAATATATATATATATATATATATAATTTTGTTTTTTGGAATAAATTTAAACGCTTTTAAAATAGTTTAATTTATCAATTAAATCCGTCCATGGCGAATATTATTCATATTTAAAGTTGATTTTTTCAAAAATAAAGGTTCATACAAAAAAATTTTCTCTGTTTTCGACTTGTTTTTTTATGTAGAAATTAGAATCATTATCTTCTCGGTAGTATCATCAGTTTACCAACAGTCCTTTAATAATAGCTTCTTTACAATATAAATGAAAAAACGATAATTTTTTCCATATTCAATAAGTGTTTTTTTAATGCGAAACGGTTTTATTCTACTTTTATCTTGCTCTCTGCCAATTGGTTGAGCTCGGTAAAGCAGGCTCGTGTCACGTGTGATCCAAACAATGTCCAACGTCCACGAAGTTTAACGTAATAAAACAAACGACAGTCTGCCTTTGGCCGCTTTAAAACTAGGCGTCTCTGAAGTCTGTTTATGTCAAATTGCGGGATCACAGTGCATAATGTAATCACGAGTTGATTTTGGTTATTTCCAAAGCAGATTTATAACATTTTCCGTGTACTTCCTCAGGATACAGCAAACCCTGCCATAAATATCAACGTGCGATCGTGAATCCTTCTGTTTTAGGATCAAAACCTATACGTAAACCAGTGAATTTATAAACACGTATGTATACTCTTGCTTTCTTCTCTTTTTTTCATTTTTTTCTTTTTAAATAAACTGTTTATCAATATCTTAATCTTCGGTAGTACCTATTTATTTAAGAAAAATTTCAGAAAATTGTACCTTCAGTGTCAATACATGACATTATTCTTTAATATATATGATATCTTAAAAAACTTTGTTTCGATAAAATTAATATGGAATATAACAATATTGATAAAATTAATTATATATATATATATATATATATATAAGTAAATCATATGCATATACTCTCCATTAGAAATGTTTAAAGACAGTTGATTTTTTTATTATGAATTCTGGTAGATAAATGGAAACTTGTAAAGAACAAGTAAAATACAGTCCAACTTAATTCTATGATAGTAACAACTTGTTATCAAAGTTTTTATAAGTATGTTAGAATTTTTTCATATTTTTCTACAATTTGAAACCGTTTGAAACAATATAAAAGTCTACATTGAAATTTGATGATCCAGGTTATGAACGTTGAAAATGTCCACAAGACGTTTTGACATTGTCTTTTAATAAGATAAAACACAGAGGTCTATCTTACTAAATTAATTAAATCATAATGATATCATAGGACATTATAATGTTATTTGTCTTGAAAATGAATTTATAAGTGACAAATAAGGCCATGATGATGTTTTTATATTATTATAACTTTTCTGTGTGTGTTCTATTTAGGCAAATATAAGATGTGCATAATTACATTTAATTATCATAGAGTTTTCACAAATATTTTTTAATAATTTAAGATATAGATAAATATTAATGCATAACATGACATTTAAGTTATACTATTATATTCTTTTTTCACACTTACGAAATATATATAAAGTCAGTATGTACTTTTAGACTTTTTGAAAAGAAGAAGAGAAAGAAGAAAACAAAAATTTGCATCAAAACTGAAGCAATAATATCTAAAAATTCATTTCTCTCAATCTAAATATATACAGAAAGAATAAAAAAGTGTGGTTAGAAAGAATCTGAGATTATTATATCTTTTTGTTCTACATTTAATTTCTTCCAGATAGAAGAATGCCGAAACTCAAGATAGCCACAAACAAGATGCACACTTGGCCGCACTTTGCCAGCCACACACAATCCTCCTTGATGAAGACACGAACGCCAATGAAACTGAAGAAGTTGTCATCGATAAAGAATGAAAATGAATCAAAGTCGCAAAAAAGCGTTGTTCCTAAATCGAAAGGAATCTACAAAAAACGAAGCAACATCACAAAGCAGAGCAAAAGCATGCAGATGCTGGTAATGATCCTCAAACAAAAGGACCGCCATTCGAACTTTTTTCTCCCTGGTGACGAGCTTACAGAGACAACCTGTCAGTTGGAGAATTCGTTAATTTCGTTTCAGGACAATTTGATCAAAGATGTATCTCACAATCTCAAAAATTGCATTGCCAGTCCAGCTAAATTAGCGACTCTTCGTAGCAAACGGACAAAAGTCATGAATGAGTTTGGATCCTTTGCTGAAAATTTGCATGATTCTTCTCAGGATGGAACAAATTGTGCAGGAAGAGATAATTCAGACGACACCTACGATTCTGAAGCTTGTACAGTCATAGATGTTACATGTAAGCTTCAGTTACATTTGAGCGACGAAGAGGATCCTACGGACTCGTGTAGTAAAGTTGAAGACCTCCATCGCAGGACCGAATGTGAGGAAAAACCTGACGACATTTCAGATAAAGATTGCACCGAAATACAAGTACATCCGCAAGGTGTAAATATTCGCAAACACATGCGAAAAACTTGGATGTTAAGAAAAGCCAGGATCCAAAATGAGCACGTTAACGTTGATCGCACTTGTGCTGATTTACAAAAGTCCGAAACCACGCAACACGTTGGTACAGTTGTGAATAACGATGCAATTATCCAGAAGAGGGGTGATCCTAAAAAAAATCTCACTTTTTATCAGCGAGGCTGGAGACCAGCTGGCGTCCTGAAAAATTTTACGAAAAGCACAACGTCTTTGCAACCGATGTCGCAGAAGTCATCTCAATCAACCGAAAACCCCAGTGCCTCGACGAAGAGCAAACATTTGTCAACTGAATGCATTAAGTAATATATCTTTTTTAGTATTTTCTGTTTACATTTCGCTAGGGTGAGGTGATACAACTGAACGAAATAAGATTTGAAGATCCAATTTTCAAAGTTCAAGTTTGATTTTTTTTTTCTGTTTGATACCCTTTAGTGTTCTCCACATAATGAGAGGATTATCAAATTAGAACCTCGAAAATTGGATTCAAATTGTTTATTTTATTCAGAATTATACTGTATTCGAAATTGTATCATCTTACCCTATGTAAAATTTATCATCCTGTATACATATATTTACTTTTAAAGTTAACAAACTTTTCTAGAGATACTTTGTAGTTATACACAGACCCTTCATAAGCATCTTACAATAATAATAATATTATACAAATGGAAAGAGTAAATAGATAAAAATTTAAGAAAAAAATATAAAGTATCATTATATATATTAAAAAGAAGTTATTCTGGATACTTTTATATTTATTTCTAAATTTTTATATTTTTAATCTTTCCATTCTGTGTAGTATTATTATTAGATACTTTTAAAATGTCTTATTTGAATTAAAATAATTGTAATGTGTTAAGAAATTTACAAATGTGTATAACATATAAAATTAAATAGGGATCAAATATAATAATACTGCGAACAATTTTATATTCTATGCCTTCTGTATTTATAATTTTAGATCCTTCAATAGTGAGTCTACGAGGACATCGGAAACTCAATCCAAGATGTTAATGAAAGAAAATAGAGACCCTCACGCGAATCGCACAAAAATGTTCGATCATCTCGCGTAAGAGACGTTTATCTTTCACATGTATAATATCAGCTATTGAGATAATGACATTTGTATACATAACGATTTTATTACAGGGACATAAAACAGCAGCAAAGGCTGCAAAGTGAAGGGATGTTGCCAAAGAAGAAATGGTCGAGGACCAAAATCCCTTCAAAAGTTTTAGATAGATGCGATGATACAAAGCCGACCCTGGCAAAATCGAAATCGCGCCATTGTCAAACGCGACCGATCATACTGGACAAATCCTCGAATAACATCGAACAACATCGTACCAAATCCAACCTGACTTACAGCAAATCGAAAACTTCAGAAATAATTCACACATTGAGAAAAATTATTGATAGCGTAAGAAAAAACGATGACGCAGAGGAAAATGTTAAGAAAAATGATGACATCGATCACGAGAAAAACGACAATAACAAAATCCAAATGTCATCAAATAGCGACACTTTGCAAAATGATGAACTACATTCTGCAAAAGATATAAACTTGGATAGAGCAGATAGATCTTCTCGGAGATCAATAAGCACGCAAGTGAAATTAGATTCTCCTTCGTATCACGAAATTGACGCTGAAAAGGATGAAGATCTGATGGAAATTCTAAATCTAACTCGAATTATTGCAACGCAAACATTGCCAAGTCATATTAGAAATGTAGTTGATGTTGGATGCAACACTCCTGCTATCGTATATAAGGATGTAGAAATTTCCTGCGATCTGATAGGCTCCACAGACTTGACAGAAATTGAATCGACCATGATTGAAGATAAATCGATGTCAAATGTTCATACGGAGTCTTCGTCTATTAAACATATTAAAGTCAATGTTGAAAATGAAGATATTAACGAAAACAAGGAACTTCTGCTTAATGAATGCAAGGAGACATTAAATACGAGATTAGAAAATTGTGATAGTATAGAGATTCCAGCAAACACGATAAATGATGCTGCTGGAGAAATAGAAAAGTTTATACGTGAAGAAGTGTATCGAATTTTTTTAAAATCGTTTAAAAATTCTGATAAAACGAACGTTGATATCAATGAAAAACAAGAATCTGCAAAATGTTCCAGCAATCACAATGTAAGTAATACTTCAATAAACAATCTGTTTTCAGAAAAATCTCAATCATTCATCTGTGATTACGATACATCTTGCTCTTCTGAGGATATCATGGAATATCTCGAAAATAACATCCAGCAAGATGTGTTCATGTCAGAATCGAAAGTGGAAGATCTAACGAGCGATGTAATTGCAACTTTTGAGCTTGCAGCAGACCGTGCGCGCAATCTTCACGAAGCAGTTATTATATATCACAAAAATTTAATGTCAAAAGAATCTGGGAAGCGAAATGAAGAGATGGTTGAAGATTACGAAATGTTAGAGTTCAGCGATGAGCAAAATTGTTCCGAGGGATATACTTCTATAAGTCGTGAAAATGAAAATAAGATAAGATCCGAATGCGATGCGATATGTCATTTCGCAAATAATGAAGATTTCGACGGATTTTCAACGTGCTCGTCGCGTGGCAGTAGTTACGATCGAACATGCAGAACCAAATTTCTGAGATCATCGAAAGATTGGGATTATTATGTTGGGATGGAACGAGAAGAAGAAAATGCTATTTTTTCAGGAAACGAGCAAACAATAGCGAGATCGATCCTAAACAAACGCTCCAATCTTGAAGATGTCAAATCGATGATGCAACTGGTGCATCGCACTCAAGAGGATTATGCACTCGAACTGTTAGAATCAGACAAAAGTGATGAAAGTTTTAAAATGGAACGAATAAAAAATGATAAAATTTTAGCACTTCCCCCGGTGACTAAAAAACCTTCTTTTATATCGCGCCAGTATTTGCTTTCTTTTTTTTATTGTATTGTTTATACTGTAGTGTTTTGGTATTTGCAGTATTCATTCCGATGTGACTCGAAGAAATAATTTTCCTGTAATTTTCATTATATATTCAAACTCAGGGATAATATAATTGATTTCATTGATGTTCGTTTAAGTGATTATGTTCTTTTTGGTTTCAATAAATATATTCTCTGTACACATGTTAAATTTTATTTTTTGTTGTATTTATTATATATATGTATTCATTTTATACGTTTTGCATTATATAAAAGTGTAAACTTATGAAAACTAAGAAAAAAGTGCATGTAGAAAAATTTTTGTCTTAAAGTCACGAAGAAATTTTGTAAAAGATTCTGTAACAATAAAGGATTTTTATAATACTGAAAGAAAAAGAAGGTTGAATATTATTTCAGCAGGCTATTTTGACAACATATCCTATGCATTAGAAATGCCTATTTCTCATTAGTTACATTACATTACATTTTCATTGAAATTAAACTAAATTCGTAGCTCATTATTATATAATATACTATTGAAATATTAATACTACAAATAATTGTTGAAAAAAATAATTGAAATTGATCAATGCAAATTATTTACGAGAGATAACAAAAATCATTGCATTACTCGGTAAAAAAAATCCAGATAAAACCAAAATATTTCGTTATCGCGCTGACCAAATGATTTAGCCAAATGCATCTGACATTCTTAGCATAACGATTGATTTGAATTAAGGTCGAAATGAATTCGAATCGTCACATAGCCATTCATTCAGCCTCAAGGACGTCGACGGTTGCGCAACCAGTGATGTCGACCAATTCTTTTGAAGTGAAAGTGGCGATTATTTTCTGCTGTCCGGGCTTTTGCGGCACGAGCTGATGCTCCACGTAAACATTCTCCTCGGGTCCTACGTCCCTGAAAGTTAAGGTCTTGTTCCTGGAGAGACCGGGCCCAGCATAGTTGAATTGGCAACTGGTCAAGGTTTTCTTCAGAGGGTTCTTAAAGCTCAATGTGATGGTCGATGGTTGTCCAACTACTGGTTCACCTTCGATCTATAACATTAAAAATAGTTCAAAGATCATTTTCTTAGTAAGAAAGAAATCTTTAGATATTTGTATGTATATAAAAACTGCATAAATGATACATACGTGAAGTTATAAATTAAAAAGATAAACAATGATATCTACATATAATCATCTGTTCTAAATAAGTGTTTATATAAATATTTATTGCTGGATCTAATTAAGCTGTATCATATTAAGAAATATTCGTAGATTAGAGATTTTAACAATTGTATATAAAAAGAAACATCACGAAAATGTGTAAAAAAAAAATTACAGAAATTCAGAGTAAAATCCATTAGTCTGATAAATTTTAAATATAATTCGATATTAAAAAATTTAATAATAAAAATATATATGATAAATATTCGAAAAGTATATATTAATTAAAGAAATATATTTAATATATTTGAATAATTAATTATTAATTTATTTTAAACATGTATGACGTTAAACCAGCCAAGAGATATCTAAATATATTTTCAAGAAAATTCTATCTTGTTTTCCTTATACCTTGACATCGATATTCGGTTTTAAAACTTGAAAATCATCCTCGTCTGCCCAAGTTTGCCGAGTTTCCTTGACCGTAGCGATGCAATATAACTTCATGATACAATACTCCACAAGCTTGTCCAGATAATCGTTTAATGTCACGCTGAGCCTTAATTGTTCCGCTATAATGAATTGAAATGAAAATAATAATCTAAACGTAAATTACATATTCCAAACGGCGTAGTTTATTTGAGACAATTAGCGCAAAGACGTCAATCAAATAACAACGCAATAAAAAAAGTTACACGGTTCTTTACTTATTCACTGATTATCCAATAAATTATCATTATCTAAGAATTCTAGAGACAAAATCAACCAAGCCGATTAGCTAAAGCAATCATCAATGATTCAACATTAACATTTAATGCTGCGGAAATTAAACGCGTTAAATGTTGTAAATTTAATATTTTACATGCCAAATTTATCGATTTCAATATTAAATTATATTTATAAAAACCTCGAGTTCTTATAAATTAAAATTCCATTAAAGTATCCGATTCATTCGGTTTTGCTTAAACTCATCATAATTCTTCGATTATTAATTACGATTCAAGAATTCAAAGCATTATCAACGCTTTAACAAACTACCGTTTTTGTTTATCTACTTGTAATGTTAATTTCATTCCTGTAGCTTAATCGACTTTTGCCGCGAGCGTTTTGAAAAAAAAAAAATAAGAATCTTTTTCTTACTGGCATTCGGTTGAAGCACGAAGTCGCCGGATGCTCTCTTCACCAGGTTCGCCTTAACTCCAGTGTAGTAAACGCTGCCGGCTGACAAGATAGCCTGAATAGTGCGCGTCTCGTCGGACTTGTTCTTAATATTCACGGTCACAGCGAACGGCTCGCCGATGTTGACGCGTTCGAGCTCGACAAGATCGAACTCGACGTCCTCTTTACCTGGCGATGGCATTGAATAGAATCTCTTCGCCATCTCGGTACTGCGGACCGCCCTGTACAAAGTCAGTCTCTCGACCTCAGTGCCTAGAAGTCAGTTAAATTAAGTTTGCAGTTAGCTGATCAAGAAGAGGATGAAAAACATGGAATATCTCGATAATTAATATAACATAAATTATTAATTGATACTGTAAATATTAAAAATACGACTCAAATTTTACTGAAAATTTTCAGATACAAAACAAACGAGAACTTTTGGAAATAAGATTACAATAAACAAACGAGAACTTTTGGAAAAAAGATTACAAAATTAAATTTAATATAGAGCTAATTAATAAGAGTCTAGCATGGGCGATAGTTATATTGTATAAAATAATAAATCGATACGTAAAAACAAATTGAACGTTTCGGCTCAAAATTGAGCTATTTTTAGCAATAGAGAAGAGTATAATACAAACTCAAGAGTTCAAGAGTCTGAATTCAGATCAAGAATCTCAGCGAAATGTGAGATAAAATTTCCATCATTTAAATCATATATTTTTGTTTGTAATATATATTGTTGTTGAAGATAGATCAAATTTTAGAGAGTCGAAATTCATTTTTATTAATTTATTATTTTATACAATATTACGTATTACTACTCGATCTTATTAGCCCTGTTTTTAATTTAATTTTTACATGCGTTTATTATTGCATAATAGAATCTGGATGGTCAGAATAAAAGTAATTTGCTTGCATCGCTTACCTTCCTTGGCTTTATAAAGTGACGTTATATCCTGTCTATCCTTATCTCCATTAGGATCGAAGATCCATGGCGCCTTCGTTAAAATCATACGGCCGATGCTGTGAAGATAATTACTCGAAGATAAATTATTATTTGAGTTTTAATATACGCGAAACGTACCGTAATGACTAAATCTTTTTATTATTCAGGATCAGCAATTGTTTTATAGGAAGAAAAGAAATATGCAATGACACGATAATTAATGAAACATAGATTATTAATTAATACCGTAAATAATAAAGAAAGGATAACGTATAAGAATAAAAATGGAGTTTTTATCACTGGAAACTCCTATGACGAGGTAGACATGAGAAACAATAATGTACGGAATAATAGATAATCTATTACAATGACATTTATCGTTGCAACGAATCGACCGTCGAGTCTGTCATATTTATGTTGCGCTTCGCATTATCTATTTACCGTAGAAATGCCTCGCGGAAATTATATGCAAATCGTGACACATCGTACACAGTAATTCATGCCTTACGATGCATCGAAGGACAATGTAATCGAGAGTTGTAGGATCAGCAAATAGCGCAAGGTTTGCGTTTCCGCTTTCGTCACTACACACCCATCGTTCACTCCGATGTTTTTTATGTATTTCACGCATCATAGCTTGTCATAGCTATTTCCGTCCGCAACGAATTTGCGGTGATCAGCAAATGCGTTATCGGTGAATGAAATCATCACAAAAGAATATCGGATGAAACATAGAGAGATATTCTTTGGGACAACCTCGAGGGGCGTTAATTATTTTATGAGTGCTTCCAAGAGTGTTGATTAAATAACCGCTTCTCTCGGTAATACTCAGCAATTAGAAGTTTAATTGAATAGAATTCGTAAATTAAAATTTGCAATTTGAATTGGAATAAAATATGATATTATTATATTTTAGCAAATGTGTGTGTGTGTGTGTGTGTGTGTGTGTGATATGATTTT